ATTGAAGATGCTTCATTACTACTACTACTACTATTAGTATTAGTATTTTGTTGTGGATTAGTATTTACAAGACCTATTCTTTTGACAACTGGTGGAGTTGGTCTAGGTACACTTGGTGAATTGGGTGTTGATCCACTACCACCACCAATACCATTACTATTAATATTATTATTATTATTATACAAAGAGGGACTTGAAGGTATAGGAGAAGAGGGTCTTTCTCTTTCAATAGCTGTCAATTTCATTAGATTTAATAGTACTTGAAATATAAGATTATCACGGTCTGACATTAGATTATCTTGAAATCTTGATAAATCATCTGTCAATCCAAAAACTTCACATGCTTTAATAAAACTAGCAATATTCTCCCTATATGCAAACATTCCTGTACCTATATTAATTTTCTTTATAGTATTTGCTTTTAATGCATTTATTAATCTATTTCATTTAATTAAAATTATAATTATTAGAATATATTATTAAATTTTTGTATATAATTTTTTTTTACCTACTTGCATAGAGTTTGACCAGATTTTAAAGATTCACATATTGGTTTTGATACTCTGATTTTGGTCTGATTGAAAATCCAATCTAGGATTTGATTTTCTAGATATATTGGTGTAAAATAATATGGATAATTATTAGATGATGTTTCATTTGATATGGTATGATTTTTTGTAGGTGGATAGGTGTTTCTATTCATCTTTATCTTAATCCAATTCACTTATGATGACTTTTTTGTAGCTTTATTTTTTTCCCATTATTAACCACAAAAAACACCACACAAGCAATCTCATTATCTGAATTTTGAGATTTCTCTCATTATTATGTCCTCCATTTACGTTTTTTGAAAATATGTTTAATTTAATTTTGTAGTAATTTCATAATTCTTACCTTGGTGTGTATCAACCATATTTGTTATGTTTGTCTTGAGAATGCTTTACTCTGAGACACCTTTTTATTTTTAAAAAAAAAAAAAAAAAAATAAGATTTTTTAAAATGGATTTTTTTCCAAAGTGTGGTGTTTAAAATTGATAATTCAAACCAATCACATTCTCATTTATCCTTTTATATTTTCAAAAAATAATAAAACAAAAAGTCTTTATTAATTTGTTTTAGAAGTTTAAATTTATAAGTGTTTAAAACATGTCTATGCCCAAAGTTTATTTATTAAAAAAAAATTAAAAAAAAAAAATCAACTTTTTTCAGTTTTTGATCAATTCGATCGGACAACAATGAATATCGATTTAATCTATCTATATGAAATAAATATACTATTCACATAATATACTATTATGTATTATATGAAATTTTAAAAAACAAATATATTATGAAGATTTATTATTATTATAATTTTTTTTTTTTTAATTTTTTCAATTTCCTCACACCCTGACATCTTAAAAAGAAATGGAAAGTTACACTGGGTTTATTAAAATTCTAAAACAAATTGGACCAGGAAATGTGGTAAAACGAAAAAGATATTGGTTTTTAATAAATAATAGTGAGGGATTATTATCATGGTTTAAGAGTAGGATATGATTTAATTTTTAATTGTAACCACATTTGGTGTTTGATGACGAAAGCAACTGTTTTATATTAATATTAATCTATAAATTTAGGTCAAACTGATTCTACACCAAAATCATTTATATTGATACAGAATATTAAATCTATTGATAAATTCAATGATTTTCCAGGATCAGGGTCTACCAGATATGGTATAATGATGATCCTGGAGAATGAAGAAGAACATTCAATGATATTCATTACAAAGACTGAAAAGGAAAGAGAGGATTTCATTGAGAATATACTCAATTGTAAAAAATTAAAGACTGAGATTAACAGCGACAATGTTACCAATATTAAACTTACTGCTAATGATAATAGTGGAAATAGATATAGAGTTTCAAATAATTTACAAATACCTAATCCAATTCCAATACAACAACCTCAACAACAACAACAACAACAACAGCAGGATCATACTAGTATTGGAACACCAACCCATAAGTCAAGTAGAGGTTCATTTACTATTGGTACAAGTAGAGGATCATCAACTACTAGTATATCACCATCTAGTCTATCAAGTACACCACAATCCAGTTCTTTTAAATCTGCAACTTCATCACGTAGAGATTCTTCAAAGATTCTATTGGGTTCTGCAAAATCTATGAGTATGTCTGGATCTTCTCTACCAATTGTCAACACCAATTCAATAACCAATAATGGTAATAGTAATAGTACAACAGTAATAAATTCATCATCACCTTCCCCATCACCATCACCATCACCTTCATTATCACCAAGTTCCGAAGAGGGTATACAAATAATGAAAACTAAATTAATGAATGAAAAAATTGAAATTCAAAAGGCATTTGATTTACAATTTCAAGCCTATGAAGTTAAAAAACTCTCACAATCATTACCAGAATTCAATCAACAAGATATTCAACAAGAAATTAAATCTCAACAACAACTTCAACAACAAGATATAAAAGTTGAAAATGAAGTAAAAGAAGTTGTAGATGAAGAAGAAAAAGAAGAAGAAGAGGTTGAAGAAGAAAAACCATTAACAGAGAGTGTATCATCACCATTACAAATTAGAGAGGTTAAAGTTAATAGTATTAGAGAAATTTCAATATCCTTAGATAATGAAAGTGAAAAAGTTGATCAACAAATTAAACAAGATTCATCATCAACTGATTCTATGAGCACTACAACATCACCAACTACAACATCAATAGAAACTGAATCTCAAAATCAAGATAAAAAAGATAATGATGAAAATTCTAATAATAATGTTATAAAAGTTATAAATTATAGACCAAATATTAAAGAATCAAAAGAGGATAGTGATAATGAACAAGGTAATATTGTAGTACAAAAAATTCAATTTAGAAAACCAAAGGAACCAGTTGTTGAGGAATCTCAAACTACAACTACTACTACAACTACAACTAGCACCACAACATCAAATTCAACTATAAATGGTGTTAATAATAATAATGGTGGATTTAATAGAAATATGATAAATCAACAAAATGTTGGATTATCATTGGATGGAAATGGTTATTTCATAATAAAGAACCCATCACAACTTAGAGTGGTAATTGGTAAATCAGTAGCTGGTGAATCATCTTTTGCTGGTGTAATTGTTGGTCCATTTAAATTGGATTGGAAACCAATTAGTAAGATTTGGTCTATTGCCGCTGACAGTTGTGTTGAAATTGGTCCTGCTACTCCATCTAAAGAGGTACTACTAAAGAGATTAAAAGAAAAAAGACAAAAAGCTTTAGCTGATAATGATACAACTCTTGGTAATCTACTTTTACAGAGAGAAAAAGAAATTGAAAATGCACAAGAGGAAGAATCTTTTATATTTCGTGGTGGTATTGTTATGGCAAATAGAAATGATAAATGGGAGCTTTTAGAGGCACCAATAACTATTACAAATAATAATACCTCACCTTATTTTAAGAATACAACAACAACTTCTTCAACTATATTACCACCATTACAACAACAACAATCCAATAATCAATATAATAGATCCACTGTAAATAATAATAATATGACAAATAGTACTATTGGAGATTTATCACAATCCATCATTAGTAGTGTTGGTAATTTATTTTCAAAAAAAGAAGAAAGAACAATTCCACCATTGACAGTTGATGAATTTGAAAAAATGATTCAACCTGTAAAGACTTCCATTTTGGATATTGATGCCTATTTTGGTAGTAATACAACTCAATTGGAAAAGAAATCGTTGGGTGATGATAATTGTAATAGAAAGATTGCACTAATGTGTAGAGGTAGATTGTCAACTGCTATTGCTCAGATTATGTCACATGGTTTCGTTCCAACTAATATTATTGGAAAGAGACAACATATTTGGGATTTTATTGATAGCTATAAAAAGGTTACTTCTCATGGAACTGTTGCTGGTATCAGTTTGATAAAGGCAATTGATACCATTAATCAACTGGAAGAGGAATCACCACAGTGGAAAGATGCCAATATTAAATTTAGAACTTTTATTTGTTGTGCACTTAATGATCATCTATTAGACCAATGGTTAATTATGCTCCAACTCAATAGACAATCAGTAGAACACTATTTCTATCCAAATGCTCTCTTGAGATCACTGGATTTCTATAGACTGTTTTGTCAATGTTTTTCACCACTCTTGGAATTACCATTTAAATTATCAATTTATTTTGAATGTAAAAAAGTTCCTCAACTTAATAATAATAATAATAATAATCAAAATAACCATCAAAATAATAATATTACAGAACAAATTAAATCATCTATAACATCATTATCAAGTCAAATTATAAATAGTAATTTAATTAGTGATCTATCAGAAAATACATCACAACTAAAACAAACTCTCACTGAAAATACAAGTCATTTGAAACAACAATTAACAAGTAATTTTAATAATTTAACTCAATCATTATTTAATCAAGATGCTGATAATTCTCAACAACAACATAATGAAGGTAATAATAACAACAATAGACCAATGATAGGACAATCAAAAAAAAGACAATCAAAAGTTACTTTTAAAGATGAAAGCAATGATTCCGACAATTCAATGGTTGAGAAAATCCAAACCTCAATTAGTACAACCATCAAACCAATTCAAAACAAAATTGGTGAGTTCTTTGAGGGTTATTAATAAATTATGAACATTTTTCGTGATTGATTTTCCTTTTTTCTTTAACGTTTTTCAATCTTTTTTTTTTGGTGTGTAATTAGCAATATGCTAAAACGGCGGCAATCAGTTATATAAGTTAATTTATTGAATTATATTTGTAGAAAAAAATTTTAAATCCATTAATAAGAACAACTGGGCTCACATACAATCCACCTTTAAACCAAATTTTTTTATTTCGTATTTTTACCATATAAATACATAACTGGGCATTCCTGGAGCAAAACACTATTAATTCCCAGAGGGGAAACTATAGTAAAATAAATAAAAAAGTTCTTATTCCCAGCGAGATTTGCACTCGCGACCTTTCCCGTGTGAAGGGAACGTGATAACTACTACACTATGAGAATTTTTTAAAGCCACAAAATGTAAAATTGTGTTGTTAAAAAAACGAAAAAAAAAAAAAAAAAAAAAACACAAAATGTTCACTAAGACTTGGTGCAAAAATAACAACCTAATACAAATTCTAATACTAGACCATTTTATGGCCCTATTCAATGTACATAAATAAACTTTAGATCCAACTCCTACATGTTAGGGGTCTGGGCATAAGGATATCAATTGGCACGCCTTTAACAAAAAAAAAAAAACAAAAAAAAGTATTGTAAGAATCCATTTTGTTAGAACTCAATTGTTAAGCATTTTATATATAAATTTATAGTATAGCATATTAACTTCAGATTTTTAGAAAATAGTATTTTTTATGGAAAAAAATATGAATAATAAACACTATTTTGGATCAAGAGAAGATTGTTCGTAGGATCGAAGATATCTTCAAGTTAATAGAGATACATAATCCAACCATTACAGCAAACAAAGAGAAAAATGCACATGTTATTATTTGTAGCCAGTATTTTCAAGGTGAGGCTTTAACCCACTATTTGAACCATGTCGGGATAGTAGACACTTACGAATTCTGTAAGAAAAGTCTATTAAGTATTTACAAGACAGAGGACCTTATCCTTCAATTGTAAAGTTGAAAAATCTAGATTACAGAAATTTCTCCAGCTTTGCTGAGTTTATTGGTATGATTATTCAGCTTAGAGCTGAGTGTAAAGAAAGTGAGCCTGTTATAGTAGATCTCCAAATTTTACCTAAAGAAATGGCCAAAGTACTATACACTGCTAGTAAAATAGCCACCATTAATGATGTATTAGAAGAAGCAAAGCGTCTGGGTTCAATAATACAATAACAACAAAATAGGGTAAAAGTTTGGAGATTCATAAATTTATATCATAAAATGCATCTCTTAGGGATAAACTCATACCATTCCTTATATTTCAATTCTGTTTTTTCAAAAATGAAAAATAAAGAATGGTATGAGCTCAGTTTTTATTCCATATAGTTAATAGAGAACTTTAAAATTTCAATACTACACAATGCAAAAAAGAATTTTTATTCTTTAGATAAAGAAAAGGGTAGGTATACTGTTATTTTTCTAGAGAATCTCTTAGATAAACATGTTATCTGATAATTAAAGATAGATATATCAAAAATTTTAATATTAGGTTGACTATAATTGTTTATCAATAATAATTTTTTTCCAATTTTTTTTTAATGAGTGAAATGATTCTACCAATTATAATTTTAAAACAAATAGTTAAACAATATTTTAATTATATAACTAATGATAATCAAATATATAATAACGAAGCAATTCATTATAATTTGATTAAATTTCATCTAGTCAGTAAAGAGTTTCAAGAAAAGGTCTTGTCATTAATTGATATGCCGAGATTCCATTATATTCTTGATGGGAAAAAACTACATAATGATAAGATTGATCAACTCATAGAGAGAGGAAATTATAGAAAATATGTTCAAATACATGCTTTTAGTCTTAAGATTCTATTACAAACCAATGAAATCAATAGACATGTTAGAGCATTGAAATTCTCTATTGGACGTCTACCAATGATTCCATTAATGTGGAATTTGGAAAGACTAGTATTTACAGCATTAAATGCTACAGAATTTAGGTCATTTATCAATAGAGTTTCTGATTTACGATTACTGGCAAATCTAGAGCACTTTGAAATACAATTGAACATAATGTTCAAATATAAAGAGTTATGTTATCTATTGGAGATGCTACCTACAACTATTCACACTTTTAAATTAATGGCAATTAATAGTGGTATCTATCCATCAGAGAATGACTATGATTTTACTCAAAATCCTATTCAAAACATTAGATATTTGATTATTCAAACATCCAAAGATTTTCTAGGTGTATCATGGTTTCAGAGATGTTTTAACTCTCTAAAATCATTAGATATTAAAATGAATATCGCATCTAATCAAACCATTAGTAATTCAAAAGGTATTGATATACTTTTTGACAGTATCCAAATATCAAAAGAATTAAAATATCTATCATTAGATATAAATAACAGTATAATACCAAACACTCTACTATGTAAATTTATAAATAATAACAAAGAATTAAAAATATTAAAAGTAACATGTCAATATTATAATGATGGTTATGATTCCATTATAAATAATAATTTAGAGCAATTATCAATCATTAATAGTAATAATAGTTTAAAAAGTGAAAATTTTGAAATAATGCCATTTTGTCAATGGGTAGAAAAATCTATAATAAGTAATCTAACAATACAATATCCAACTAAAGAGAATATATCCATTCTTCAAAAACATTTTAATCATTTACAGGAAATTCAATTGTATAATTGTAATGATTTTTATGATTATCTAGTACAAATTTTCTCTTCAGCAACTCATTCCATTTCAAGTTTAATTTTAACTGGATTAGGTGTTAGAATTGAAAGTTTCCAAAGATGGAAATCTATATTTTCTTTATTATTATCGTTATCAAATAATAATAATAATAATAATAATAATAGAGTTAGATTAAACAAATTAAAAATTACAGGATATGGCTTAGAGATATTAAAAATTTCAGAATTTTTACGTTCTGGTAGTAGTTCAACATCACAACAACAGGGAATGTTGACATTGGACCATTTCTATATCCAATTACCATCCTATGAAAGCTATTATTATTTCTTTGATTCATTTCTACCAGAATATAATAATATTAATAGTCTGACACTGGATGTAGATGAGAACTATTCATTTAATTTGGGTTCTTTATTAACTTCTGGTGCGATACTATCAAGTAACATTAAACATTTTACACTAGTTGGTAAATCAAGATATTCCATTTCTCAAAGAGATATTTTGAATATTACGAAACAAATTGAAAAAACAGAAATTATATCACTTATTGGTTGTATTTCACAATTGTACCCCAGCGATCAATTACACCAACCTGATTTTAATAGTTTAATATACCAATTAATCAAAAAATGTATTATTTTTGATTGTAAATATACTTTTCAATAACCAATTGGTTTATTTAATTAAAAAGATCCAAAATTATCAGTACACGTCAAAATATATGACAATATTGTTTATAATTTTAGATATCTTTTTTTTTTAGATTTTCTTTTTTTATAATCAACGTGCTGATGAAAAAACATTTAATATTAGTATTTATAATATCAGTACTTTTTATTCAAAGTTATTTCCCATTGAGATATTATATTTTAAAATATCAAAACTCCAATTCTATATTGTCAAAAGAGAATAGAGAAAAAGTTGAAACATTTGAACAATTACAACAACTATTAGAAACAGACGACGAAAGATACTCTTGGCGTATGTTTTCACCAACTGCAATAGATACCAATTGTATAGTAGTATTTTATAGTAGTTTAAATAATTTCAAACAAATCAATTATCAGAGCCTCTATAGTAAACAATGGAGAGATCTAATGGAAATGTGTCGATATCCAGTGATAAAAAAACTATCAAAGGATCTTTGTCAACAAAACTCAAAGGATCAAGTAATTCTAAGGTAATTAGATTCATTACTTTTTATTTGTGTGTTTTCCTATTTCAATTGTATTAATAGTCAGTATTATATAGAGTAATCAAAAAATATCAAAATCAAGAGATATTTCAAACGGAGCCAATTCCAGTACATTGTTAGAAAATTTTATATTTGGAGAGAATTTTAAAGGATGGATATTAATAACATTTAGATTTATATTCTATGGTATGATGGCAATAGACTCATGGTTAGAAATACCTAGAGCCAGTAACTTTATTGGACAATTTAATCTTAGTCATTTTGGTGATTGGGATTGGTTTAATAGACTTTTGACACCATTATTATTCATTAGTTCATGTTTGGTAATGTCGATATTATCTATAGGATGTTCATTAAATTTACAAATTATTAGATCCCAACCAATCATTGAACCACTTCTAATTGCAATTCTAAAAGGTCTATTGGTATTTTCAAGTCAATCAGATAATTATCAACATCATTATCTATTGGTATTAGTTCTATTTACATTGGCATTTGAAACCAAATGGTATAGTAGCTCAGATAAAGATTCTGCAATATCGATACCACAAAAAAACTATTCAAGCTGGCCATTAAAATTACTATTTTTGGAATTGAGTGTATTATATTTCTGGACTGCCATTGCAAAAATGCATCCATCTTGGATCAATGGTTCGGTATTACCCAGAATGATAGGCCCACAATTTCAATATCTGGCAAAAGATCTTCAAAATCTTATAGGATACTCAGTTGAAGATATTTTTCAAATATTATCCATTTCAACGATTGCCTCGGAACTATTCCTGTTGGTTTCCATTCACATTGAATCACTAAAAATTCCTTCATTAGTCATTGGTGTATCTATGCATTGGATTATGGGTATATCTGGTCTAAGAATTGGTACATTTTCTATATTCATGGTCATTTTTTATATACCATTATTACCAAATCCATTCTATTTCATCTATTCCATTATTGTAGAAAATCTATTCAATAACCAATATCTCCAACAGTTAAAAACAGTACTCAATATAAAATCAATTCAAGTGATAGGAGTTTCAGCATTCATTTATTATGGTAATTGGATATATAATCTATCAATAGAACCTCAACCATTAATAATTGTAAAATTATTATTACTATTGCTGTTATCAATAGTTACATTATTTTTAGTATTTTCAAATCACAGTAGTAGTAATAATAACAGTAAAGAAAGAATTAGAAATTTAATAGTTATAAGTTCACTATTTCTAATGATATCAAGTCACAGTAATAGTATAATAAGAGAATACTATTCAGAGATGGCAACTGGTAACTTGTCAATGAACAATCTCACCAATGCTATCAAATATTATAAATTGGCAGAAAAACAATCCTACGATAGTGAGTGGATATATACAAAAGATACATCTGATGACAGATATGAATTTATTGGTGATTTGGGATTATTCCTAGAGACCAATAAAAGCT